TCTAATTTGTCTAGGTCCCTCTGTATCCTATCCCTACCTTCCAGTGTATCTACCACTCCTCCCTGTTTAGTGTCATCTGCAAACTTGCTGAGGGTGCAATCCACGCCAATTTCCAGATCATTAATGAAGATATTGAACAAAACCAGCCTCAGGACCAACCCTTGAAACCAGCCCCCAGGACCAACTCTGCTTGATACTGGTTGCCAAGTAGACATGGAGCCATTGATCACTACCCCTTGAGCCTGACGATCTAGCAAGCTTTCCAACCAACTTAAGGTTGACTAGCAGTGCCTCGTACCTTCCAGAATTTGAAATGCACCAGTACTTAAACAGTTAAGGTAAAAACAAGCACTTAAATCTCCAAAAACTGGGAAATACTGAGTTACGGTAATGTCTTCTACAACACCCTCCCCATGCACCAATCTTAACTCTGTCCCCTTTGAGCAATGCTCCAACAAGTCCCTCAGAGAGACCTCAAGGACTGTACCCTTCCCAAGTATGTGGAGGACAGTAAGAGAAGTGCCCAAGAATAGTGTGGGGAAAACTATTAGGCCTTGTTTTCACTGGGATGAAGATTGAAGTTAAGTCAGGCATAGCAAACATGAATGAACCAGGCACCACATACACACAGCCTCCTCTTTTGCTCCAGAAAAAAACCACCAAAGACCTGCCAGATGTTAATATCTGTTCATTCTTGTCTTAGGGATTCCCTATGTGAGTCCTTACTGAGATTTTTGGGCAGTGTGATGTGTGCCACCAGAGTGCTAGAACTCCTTGGCTACTGAGAACAGAGAGGGTGCAGGGCACTGTGTGAATGGCTATACAGATGTGGGGTTCTGGCAGTGGTTCAGACTATGCGGTGGAGTATTAGAAAGGGCTGAAGAACTCTGATATTCCTCTACCTTCTTGGCATAGTATTACAGCAGCAGCTCCTGGAGGAGTCAGCAGCAGCCATTCAAACAGCCCTAAAACTCTTTAGACATTTAAAAAAACATTGTTCATACATTCTTAGATCTTAGACCAGTGGTCCCCAAACATTTGAGGGCCATACCTCCCCCACTTACCCTGGTCTGCACTCCCTCACCCTGAGGAGCCAAAGCTAGGAGTGAGACCGTGGCTTGGGGGGTGGGGGTGGTGCAGCCAGGGATAAGGGGGGATAAGGCTGGGGCCACAGCTGGGGGTGGGTCTGGGGCCGGGAGTGGTGCTGCGGCCAGGTGTGGCTCTGCTCCCGGCCTTGCCCTCAGCCTTGGCCCCAGGCTGGGAATGGAGCTGCAGCCAGCGACTGAGGCTGGGGGCTGGCATGAGGCCAGGAGCGGAGTTGCGCAGAGGCTGGGGACGGGGCCAGGCTGGAGGTGGGACCAGAGCAGACCTGGGGCTGGGGAGGGGCTGAGTGGCATTCCCACCCCAACCCCATGAGGACTGGCCCGGGACACCCCCCCCACCCCGGACATTCCTCCATGCTCCCCTAAGGGGGTACATGCCACACTTTGGGGACCTGTGTCTTAGACCCAAGAGGGGGCATTGTGCTCATTTACCCCATGCACAGCCTAGAAAAAAGTGACCCCTCAGCTGGCAGGGTGAGCTCTGGCCATTTGCTGCAACTTGTGCCGGGAGCAGTACACCTACGGCTGACTCCAGGAGGGTCAGGAGGAGTGGGTGAAGAGGCAAGTTCATAGAGCACGTGTAGGACATAAACAGCACAACACAGAAAATGGCAGATTTTATTAGGATAAGCTTGGTTTGGTCACTGTGCCTGATGTATTGCCAACACCAGGGGAGCAGCATTAAGAGCGTGTGGGCTGGGAGACCTTACCATAGCCTCCGTGTCCATGTTCTCAGAGGTATAACTTTGTTGCACCTTAAATCTCTGGAAAATAGGAAATAAAGAGTTAAGTATTGGTGCATTTCACATTCTGGAATGGTCTGAGGGGGAACACAGGGACCAAACTTCTCCTTTCTTCCACAAATAACACCTGCAAAGTCTACAGGGATTTACATTTCTGCAGCACGCCGGCAGTAGGTCATACTGCTCCATGCATAGCAACTCATGTCTTAGTACTCAATGCTGAGGGCAGAGGGGCCTCTTTTGGCCTCATTGTAAAAAAGGTAAATATTTTGGTATTTGCTGTAAGAGTGGTGAAGTAGTTGATATGTCTTGCTGGGATTTGTAGGGGTCCTTCCATAAAGTGCCATCTGACTCCTTCTAGTCTTTATTATTCTAATGCAATACTGTGTCACTAACAACCGCAGTGTAAGGAAGGATATTCTTACTATGGATTTGATGTCCTTGTCCCCTGCCATGATTTCAGAGAGGAAATGAGCAGAAAAGGCTCTTTGATCAAAGTACTGGAGATAATTAGAAACATGTCAGCAGTAGCTGTTATATATTCACACAACGGTTTCAAAGCAATACAGTGAAAAAGCAGGAAGGTGGGATTAAGATATGCCCAGAATAAAAAACCATGAAGTTGGGCTGGATGGCTTTTTCTGTGCCAAGCATGTTCTCTTTTTGTTGCTAGTTGTCAAACAGATAGAAACATCTCCTCACGCAAATAATATTACGAGCTGGGAAAAAGTTGGAAACGTCCACTAACAAATTTACAATGGCAATCATTTCTGAGTGTATTGATTAGCTCGTAAACATGAGCACTAATGTGATCCAAAGAACAGAGTTGTACTAGGTGATCAAACTGAATAGGGGCACCTGCTGCTTGTGAACACTTCTGATCTGTTACTCCTTGCTGCAATCTATTTGAATACAGGTGCAGCTGGGTACCTGTTTTATTGCCAGTTGTTCAAATCAATACCATTATACTGATCCAATTTCATGAAAATGTTTACTAGCATTGGGGTGAATTTTTTGATTCCATGCCCCATTGTCAGTTCACAGGGACTATGTCTCCAGGAGGAGGGAGGCTGTGGCCACAGCTGGGGGTGGGTGTGGGGCCAGGAGTGGAACCCTGGGCAGGGGCTGGCAGCTGGGACCCCACTTGTGGGGCCAGGAGCAGAGTCCCGGCCATGGGGCCAGGCATGGGCCCTGTGAGTGTAGCCCTGGGAGCAGGGGGCCAGGCACAGGGCCCCGGGATTGGAGGCCTGAGAGTGGGGCGTGGGGCCGGGCATGGGGCCCCAGGCATGGGGCCAGCGGCCGGGGAGTGGGGCTGGTAGCCAGGACCTGAGCCCCGGGCATGGAGCCAGAGGCTGGGGAGCGGGACTTGGGGCTGGCCCCCAGGACCCGAGCTGGGGAGTAGCGCCTCGGGCACGGGGCCAGCGGCCCTGCATAAAACCTGGCTGCAGCACCCCGCCACACCCCTACTTCCCTTGCCTGGGGTGGGGGGAAAGGAGAGCCCAAGCTCAGGCTCTCCTTCCCCCCAAATCCCTCACCAGAAGGTGGCAATGGAGCTCCAGCTGTCAGCCTGGCAGTACTCCAGGCTGTCAGTCCCAGTGGCGGGGCTCCAGACTGCCAGTTCTGATGGTGGGGCTCCATCTATGAGCCTGTGCAGAGCTGACAGCCATCAGGCAATCAAAGTAACGCAGTGTCTGCAGAGACACTGCATTGTCCTAACTACATCAACTTAAGCACTACACTTCTAGCAGAAGTGGAGTTATTGAGTTATTGAGTTATGTAGTGGGCGACTTACATCTGTGGGAGCACCATTCTAGTGTAAACACTTACAGAGTTAGGTCAATGTAAGCTGCCTTACATTGACCTTATTCTGTAGTGTAAACCAGGTCTGAGATTTTTCAATGCCTGGCTACAATTAGCATCTGGATGAAAAGCAGGTGGGTAAAAATGAATATAGGGAAGATGGGGGTGATGCTGGTGGGAAGAGGGAAATGTTTAAAAAATATAACTTTTCCATAACTTCCTTTTCTATCAAGGCCCTCTGCTCTCACATTGTTCATTTTGTCCACAGCCTTGGTCCATAGCTAGATTTCTTACTGTTACTCAAATTACAGTGGTTCTGACCTCTTTCATCTGCAGCTAGCCAGAAGACTGCACTCAATACTATCGGCCACAGTGATTCATGCTTGATTATTGCAATTCATTTTAATTAGTAATGATGCCACCCATTTTGAGAGAGTCCCTATTGGCAGAGAACACAGCACTTCACCTAATGTGCAAATGCATGTTGCTATGAGCACATCTCCTGAGTGCTTTGCTCTCTGTAGAGGCTCCTCACTTGATACTGCATTAGATGAACTTTGATACACATTCAAATTCAAGGATTCTGTTTTCATATTGAAATCTTTTTTTAGATAGTGGCCCAAATTACATGGGAGACCACTTCTCCCTTTTTGATCAGCAGCTCCCAGGACAGTTGCCTTTCTCAGCAACAATGGAGTTCCAAATCACAAAAACTAAGATTTATGAGTGTGGGAGACAGGACTTTTTCAACAGCTGAGCAAGCACTGGAGAGCTCATTGCCACAAGGGACAGGAATGAATATTCCGCTAACACTGCACGTGCAGGATGATATGCAAAATTCGTTTTATTTGCAATTATATTTTGAAAACACCAAACATACTACAGACAAATCTACCAAAAATTCCTTCCAGTGGGGTGAGAGAAAGAGGAGCGAGATATTGGGTATTTCATTTTGCTTATTATGAGTAAGGCATTCCTATGGTATGCTGGTTGATTACTGAGAGTCAACGGATCACATTGCAGATGCTCTTGCTAGTTCTGCTTGTTCAATGGTCCCGGGGTTGGAGCTCAGAGAAATGAAGCAAAGTTAGATATAGTGCATATTGCTGAGAAAGACTGTGCTGTCTGGACTTCTATGAGAATCGTTCTTAGGTGCCTACAGGTGATCTCCATATGGTCCTGTGCCTGGAAGTTACTCCCACACCACTGCTAACTTGATTACAGCAATTAGTGAGTGATCAATCTCGTACAGATGGCACACAGAGTGAGAAGCTGCATGTACAGACCGCTCTAGAAGTCTGCAGGGTTCAATTTTAGTCAAAACTGTCTTTACTCTATTTTATGACCATATTAGGAGCTGTCCTGGTTCCAGTTGTTTGTCGGAGATGGAGTCAGGATCCGCTGATCGAACCAGCATGCAGTACCAGAAGACCACATATCTACAAACATATAGTCTAAGAACACAGGACTGTCCTTTGCAACATTAAAGACTAAACTCAGAGCATGTCATCTTGGTTTTGTAAATCTAACAACAATATAAATTGCAAACCAATTTTTGGGGCCTAATTTGGGTAAGGTTTGTGATTTCAGCAGTAAAATAATCGAGACACCATCAATGGTGGTATTGTCTGTCTATTGTTTTATTGTGATAAATAAGGAACCAAGATATGGTGGCATCAAAGACACAGATTCTTTGGAGATCATATCACTCCGTAGTTTGACGTGAATAAAAACTTTACTCTGGTTCAACAGTTTCAGCCTTTTCCATTGTATGCTAACCTACAGGAGGGTTGCAATGTCCTGCTTCCAGAAGAAACAACCAAAAGGGAAGGACAACAGGTCAACATTATAGGATTTGCCGGAGTTAAGCTACCCAAAATGATTTGGAAAAGCAGGAATCTTCCTGGGGAGTGGAAGATATTCAAGCAGTGTCCAGAATTAACTTTCAAGGATCCCCTGAAATCCAAGAATAAGGATGAAAAATTTTGTCTGAAAAATCTGGGTTTTCAAGAAAAGAAATGAAATATATGATGTTTGGGTTTATATATTAGCTGAAAGGAAAAGCATAGGCTGTGTAAGGAATATGTCATTCCCCAGAGCGAACCTGAGTGTTTGCAGGATATACACTTTAAAACAGCATATAAGGAACAAGTGAAGCCGTAGAACAAGTGGTTGGTACTGACTGACATGGTATTGACTGACATTGACTGACGTGAATGATTCAGGGCAGCATAATGTTTGGGTCAAATTACATTGAAACAAATACACCGTCTGAGCTACCAGAATAAAGTATTTTCTTTACGTTTTCTCAGCTGAGGTTCTTAAGCCCAATTCTACAGAAGAAGCAACAAGCACTGAGCTAGAAACAATATCTTCTAATGGTGATGTTATCTTGCTAAGTTGACATCACACATTGCAGATGTTTTCGCACCACTAAGGAATCTCCTAAGAAATTCAGAGTAAGAGTATACCTTCAGAACTAATTAACAAATTGCTAGTTTAGGCACATAGGAATATTGCAATATAAATAAAGAGGCAATGCTTCAGGTTAAGCAAGACTGTGGGGCTATTACTGCAAGAATGTAAGCCAGTGGTTTATGCATTCAAAGCTCTCCCTCCTATGGAAATAAACTGTGCACAGACTGAAAAAATGATGTATGCAATTGTGTTTCTCTGTGTCTTCATTATGCAAGGAAAAGTACAGTGGAATCTGACCAAGAACTTTTGGAGACAATTATGGAAAAAACCTTATAGTGACACCACTAGTGCTTCAAAGAATGATGTTGTGCATATAGAAATACAACACTGTGATCAAGTTGTTATTCTATAGTCATCTTCTACTATCTTCATGTTGTCCAAATGCACTTTTATATGTTGTACGTGGAGCGCTATTTCATTCACATATCAAATGGAACAACAGTGGGTATCTTCATTTATCATTTTTTCAGCTGGTTTACTTCTTCCTCTGTATGTTGTCTCAATCCTCCTTTCAATTTGCTGTCTATCAGAGCTGTTTGTTGAAAGCTTGTGTTGGATCTTGGACTATAGTAGGCTGCTAAAAGAATTGCATGGTTTGGGATTTCTCTGTGCAGGGTTTACAAAGAGTATCCAACACGGCAGTGGAACTAGAAAAGTATCTACAGAAAAGGAAACAGAAAGTTGTCCTTATTATCTGCCTGCAACAGTTGGCATGTGAGAGCAAGTTTGAGAAAGCTGATCCTCTGCTTGCAACTGCCTAAGCAGGTACTGAGTGCTCCCAGAGAGGAGTTGCTGGCATTATATCCTGCCTGAGATGCAACATACTGATAGAGGGTCCTCCCCATGATGCCTGTTTTCCTACATACATGTCAGAACTTCCACATGACTAGCTACGTTTAATACAATTCTACTTCTCTGCTGCTGGCGATGAGAACTTCTCCGCTGCTGGCGATGAGAACTTCTCCCCTCTTAAAATGGCAGAACTAGTAATGAGTCCAAATGATTATATGGTCCCTAGGAAAATACCCCTTTAAAACGTTGCTTCAAGAAAAAACTCTCTCTGTTTTATTACATCATGACACAAAGATCTGATGTGTTCCTCTGTTTAAAGGTACTTCAGACAAGCTACTGCTCACATTGAGCATTTATGTGTTAGCAATATTGTTTGCCATAGTTTAATACCACAGAAGCATAGAAACCTTCTCTAAAATGTTACAAATGTGAAGGAAGACTGTGGGTTTTTTTTAAAATCAAATCCATTTCCTCTATTTAACAAACACAAGTAAAGAGAGAGGACAGAGAAAAAAGGTAGCCTTGGGGGCTACCTTGGAAGTGGAGAAACACTTTCATCTAGACTGTTGCTGGACACAAGAACATTTCTGCAAGGGAATCCTGTTTAGGCTTAAACAAAAAGGCTAGTGGCTCTGATATGGGAACCTGTCATAAATATAAAGGGAAGGGTAACCACCTTTCTGTATACAGTGCTATAAAATCCCTCCTTGCCAGAGGCAACATCCTGTTACCTGTAAAGGGATAAGAAGCTCAGCTAACCTGGCTGGCACCTGACCCAAAGGACCAATAAGGGGACAAGATACTTTCAAATCTTGGGGGGAAGGAAGGCTTTTTTTCGTGCTCTTTATTTATGTGGTTGTTCTCTCTTGGGACTGAGAGAGGTCAGACAGAAATCCATCTTCTCCAACCCATCCTAATGCAAGTCTCCAATATTGCAACCAGTATAGGTAAGCCAAGCAAGGCGGATTAGTTTATCTTTTGTTTTATGTGAATTTTTCCTGTGTTAAGAGGAAGGTTTATTCCTGTTTTCTGTAACTTTAAGGTTTTCCCCAGAGGGGGATCCTCTGTGTTTTGAATCTGAATATCCTGTAAAGTATTTTCCATCCTGATTTTACACAGATGATTTTTACCTTTCTTTTTTTTAAATAAAATCCTTCTTTTAAGAACCTGACTGATTTTTCCATTGTTCCAAGATCCAGGGGTTTGGGTCTTTGATGATTTTGTAACCAATTGGTTAGGATTTTCTTCTCAAGCCTCCCTAGGAAAGGGGGTGTGTAAGGCTTGGGGGGATATTTTGGGGGGAAGACGTCTCCAAGTGGTCTCTTTCCCTGTTCTTTGTTTAAAATGCTTGGTGGTGGCAGCATACTGTTCAAGGACAAGGCAAAGTTTGTACCTTGGGGAAGTTTTTAACCTAAACTGGTAAGAATCAGCTTAGGGGGTCTTTCATGCAGGTCCCCACATCTGTACCCTAGAGTTCAGAGTGGGGAAGGAACCCTGACAGAACCCAAGACTGAGAAGTCAGAGCTGGAAAATGGGAGGTCCCTAATATCTTATACTTGTAGTTAGATATAGCTTATATGTCTCCTTTTAAAAACTTATGTTAAGCCAGAAAGAAACATTTCTTGGAAAGGATTGATTCCCTAATTGTCATAAAGGTACATGACTAATATTTTAATAGCCATGTAATTGCTGAAGCTGTTTTTGTGGGACTGTGAATGGCATTGTTTATCATCTCAATGTAATACACAAAATGTGTGACATGACATAAATTTGTGAACAAGTGAATGTTTTTGAAGATCTTCCTACAGCTTCATAGAAGTGTCTCCATCTTTTCCTTCTCTTGTGTTCTTTCCATTCTCTGCAACTGTTTTTCTATTTTTTTCCATTAACACAGAAGCCAGGTTTGTGGCCTAGATACTTTCATTCATATTTAAAAGGGCTTCAACTCAGCCTCTGAGCTTAAACTCATATTATGTGCCTAGATATAATTATGTACAATTTTGTGGGCACAAATAATTGTAGACACATTTTATAACACTCAGACATTTACCTGTAACTACTTCGTAGAGGCAGATATGAGAGCTTGATCCAGGTTCCATAACCAGAGGACAGCTTCTGCATCAAGGGAGACCAGGTGTTGTAGATTGCCTGCCAGATACTGAGTTGGGCACTGTTCCACCACATGAGTTATTGTCTGCAACACTGCCTCCAGTCATAGCATCAAGAGGAAACCAGCCCAATCCAGTGCATTGCTCTGGCAACTCTGGGTGAGCTAGAGAGTAGCCCATTAGGCCTGGTCCAGGATCTACGATCAAGTGGACAGGGAGGCAGGTACAGCAATGGACTCCTGAATTTATATAGATTCTCTTTCCTACCGATGCTATCACTCTATAAGAATGTAGTTTTCAGCTCCCTGGCAGTGCTGATTATCTGTGCATGGTAAAGGGCCAGTTGTACTCTTTTCCAGGTTTGTGAGAGCTGCCTTCAGAAAGGGATGTTGAGAGATCTGCTCTGGTGTTACGCCTTGGACCTCAGGAATGGGATTCCTCCCCCTAAATATGAGCAGACCTTCGAGTTGGTACTGCATGTTGTTTCCTGTCTCAAAATGGGGCTGTCATAAATATAAAGGGAAGGGTAAACACCTTTAAAATCCCTCCTGGCCAGAGGAAAAACTCTTTCACCTGTAAAGGGTTAAGAAGCTAGGATAACCTCGCTGGCACCTGACTACAATGATCAATGAGGAGACAAGATACTTTCAAAGCTCGGGGGTGGGGGAAACAAAGGGTCTGTGTCTGTCTGTGTGTTGCTTTTGCCGGGGACAGAACAGGAATGGAGTCTTAGAACTTAGTAAGTAATCTAGCTAGATATGCGTTAGATTATGATTTCTTTAAATGGCTGAGGAAATAAGCTGTGCTGAAAGGAATGGATATTCCTGTCTTTGTGTCTTTTTGTAACTTAAGGTTTTGCCTAGAGGGATTCTCTATGTTTTGAATCTAATTACCCTGTAAGGTATTTACCATCCTGATTTTACAGAGGTGATTCTTTTTACTTCTATTAAAATTCTTCTTTTCAGAAACTGAATGCTTTTTCATTGTTCTTAAGATCCAAGGGTTTGGGTCTGTGGTCACCTATGCAAATTGGTGAGGATTTTTACCAAACCTTCCCCAGGAAGTGGGATGCAAGGGTTGGGAGGATTTTTGAGGAAAAGGCATTTCCAAACAACTCTTTCCCAGTAACCAGTTAGATGTTTGGTGGTGGCGGCGAAAGTCCAAGGTCAAAGGCTAAAATAGTTTGTACCTTGGGGAAGTTTTAACCTAAGCTGGTAAAAGTAAGCTTAGGAGGTTTTCATGCAGGTCCCCACATCTGTACCCTAGAGTTCAGAGTGGGGAAGTAACCTTGATAGGGGCGTCAGTCAACTGGAGTTGTAATAGGTTGGTTTCAGTGTCACAGCTGTCCAGGCAGACTCCAGGCTCG